GTGGACTCACTGGTAGATGCAATGCGCACCCTTCTCGGACCTGAAATGTTCAATCTCGATCCGACTGTTCCGCCGATTGCTTTTGATGAAGCCCTGTTTTCTGGTTCGCGCAAACAGTGTCTGGTTGTGGGATATTACACGCAATTTAAGGGCGACGCGCAGGTTCAACCATCGCCTTCTGTGCAGCGCGCTGTCCTGGAAGTGAAGGCCATTTTACAAAGCCAAGGCCATTTGGTAAAGGAGTTTGTCCCGCCGTCTGCCGACTTAGCTGAGGAACTGGTATTGTCCACTTTCTTTTCTGATGGCGGTGCTGGATTGCGCTCTGCCCTAAGCAATGAACCACTGCCGAAGCACATGCAACTGCTTCGTATTTCGCTGTACCTGCCTGTATTTTTAAAGCGCCTGCTTGCTCTTCTCGCGGGTTTCTTTTTTGGTAGGTCTGCGGCCATTATACTAGAATCCTCGATTGGCTGCCATTCCAGCGGTTCCGTGCTAGACTTGCGACACCGGATTGCCAAGTACGAGGAGGCTTTTGCGAAGTCCATTTCCACCTCCGATCCGCCCTTTGACGTTATAATATGTCCGACCTTCGCCTATCCGGCCCCTCTTGCGAACACTGCGGAGCTATTTTTGGACACATCAATTCTCTATACGGCTCTCTACAATTTGGTGGATTATCCGGCTGGTGTTGTGCCGGTTGGCTATGTCACAGCAGAGGATGTCAAAGAAGCGGTGAAGCTGAAGGAGGCCTTTCGGCGTTCCGGAGATCGTACAAATGCTGCGCTTGCAAATATGCAAATTGGCAGTGAAGGTCTTCCTTTGGCGGTGCAAGTAGTAGGCAGGCCCATGCAGGAGGAGGTGGTTCTCAGAGTCATGAAGGAAATTGAGTCATCTGTTAACTTTTGGCAGTAGACAGAGGGGGAACAGGAGTACTAATTGTATCGCCCTCTGGATTTCCTTTAGTCTGTGTGCGTTGCAGTACTTGTTGTCGTTTTTTACAGAGGAACTTCACGCTTTGAACAAACTCTTTTTAAACCCTTTCGTCTCTTATCATTTGCGCCGTTTCTGTGTTCATACCAGCCTTTCCGTTGAGCTATATTGACTTTTTAGTCGTCATTAAATTTGTCTCGATATGTTGGTGCTCTTCTGCCTTTTCTGTATGTCACTTTCGCCTTAATCAACAACTAGTACAGGATATGATCGATGATTTCATGTCTGGAAAATATTGCGCGATATACGCATTCGACCGTTGTTGTTTGTACTTTATTGGTCGTTAAACAACTGAAAGTAACCTTTTAATGTCTCGCCGCGCCTGAAGTACCTCTCTCAACTTCAGCTACCTCATTGTGCACTGCCTGACGAATTATGTAGCATATTATGCTTAGTATTCTCGGTCTGACTGGCAGTATTCCTGGGGGTCTATCTATTAGGGTAATTGCTGGCCGCCCGACGTGTTCGAGGATGGGCGACCATTTAATAGCCTTCAGCAGTTGTTAGATGCCCACAAAGCAAGCTCTAGTATCTTCGGAATAATCTTTTGCTGGCCAACGGAAAAGGTGTTACCAGGTCAAGGGACTAAGGTCTGGCACACTGGCTGCATTTCGATTCCACCCAGCCGGATTCTGGTCCTGTCCCTGGCTATGGCGATTTGCTGTCAGAAAGGTTTTCTTGCCCTTAGTGCTCACCACATATGGCTGGTTGTCAGCAGCCGTATTTCCAGCATTGGCGTGGAATTCAAGCGAGGCCAGCCAGCCTACATTCTCATCAGCTCAGGGTTTCGCGCCTTTTTCATGTAGACATGCGTGGTGCCAAAACTGCAAACACTAGCGGGTCAGACGACACCCTCGTTTGCTTAAGCCTGAAAGTTTATCTATCTTCTATTTTCCGGGACGCATCGATACCTTTGATTTACAGCCACCCAGCACAGCCAAATTTTTAAACTAAAATCCACTCTTGATTCGCGACCCGAGTCTGAGAAGAAAGCAGTAAGGAATGGTCAGATCAGATCAGATCAGATCAGATCAGATCAGATTTATTAAGGGAAAAGTAGGCGAACGCCTTTGAACTCCCTTTTGGTTACAATAACGTCATAAAAAAACAATGTGTAAGGCAAGTGTGAAAAAAATTAGGTAAGTAATTACATACAACAAGCATTGGTCACTGGTATGAGTTTGTCTGTGAATGCCTTCTGTGTCAAGATTGTACAATATCCAGTACGGCAATGAATGGACCAAGTAATATCAAAGCAAGCGCATATGTGGCGGTCAGGAGATAGCGAAAATTGTAAAACGTAATGTTACTAAAATATAGGGAGTAGCATGCTTTGTAACATAAAACGTTGGATGGGACGGGTGGCACAGGGGGGAATTCGTTAGTTCCTGATGCTGTGGAGGTACATATCCCTGTTCTGGTCAAGCTTTCTCTTAAATGAGTCCACGGATGAGGACATGACGACATCCACAGGTAGGGCGTTCCATGCCTTTACCACTCTGTGGCTGAAGAGGGACCTTCTTGCGTCCAGTCTCGCTCCTGTCACACGTAGTTTCAGAGGGTGTCCTCTCAAGCTAGTAGTGGTGGCCAGCTCAAAGAAGTCGCCGGATGCGAGGCAGCAGT